TCCCTCAGCTTCTGTACTTCAGAGGGTGTCATGCTGTTTCCAGCAAGATCCTGGGGAATCCTAAGTATACCAAATCATACAAGAAGACACTCCAGCACAGTGCAAAGTCGTGTTCTCACAGGATTTGGGGTACTCAGCTATTCTCAGGATCTCAAGAAGGATGATATCACACTTGTCTAGGTGCCGCAGGAGGGGTAAGGCAAGGAATCCATGCTTAGACAGTATGGATTCATGAAAGACAGATGTTGTCAAACAAATCTGATTTCTTTTTATGAGGGGGTGAGCAAAACCTTGGACAGAGGGGTGGCGGTGGATGTGGTATACTTGGATTTTGCAAAAGCGTTTGACACAGTTCCCCACACACGGCTAATGTGTAAGGTAAAGTCTACGGGCTTGGAAAAATCCGTATGTAAATGGATAGAAAACTGGCTAAAAGATAGTATTCAAAGAGTAGTGGTTAATGATTCATACTCTGAATGGTCTAGGGTTGTCAGTGGTGTACCCCAGGGTTCAGTGTTGGGACCCTTACATTTTAATATATTTATAAACAATATAGGGTCTGTCTTTGCAGATGACACCAAGCTGTGCAGTGGAATAACGTCCTTACAGGATGTCTCCAACTTACAAGCCGACCTCAGTGCACTGTTTAATTGGTCAACTATGTGGCAAATGAGGTTTAATGTTGATAAATGTAAGGTTATGCACTTGGGGGCTAAGAATATGCATGCATCATACATACTGGGGGGTACAACCGGGGGGATCAATGGTGGAGAAGGATATGGGAGTTCTGGGTGATCACAAGCTTAATAATGGCATGCAATGCCAGCTGCGATTTCTAAAGCGAGCAAAATCCTCTCTTGTATTAAAAGAGGTATAGACTCCAGAGAGAGAGATATCATATTACCCCAGTACAAATCATTAGTAACACCTCATCTGGAATATGCAGTTCAGTTTTGGACACAAATTCACAAAAAGAACATTGGGGAACTGGAGAAAATAGAGAGAAGGGCAACCAAACTGATAAGAGGCATGGAGGAGCTCAGCTATAAGGAAAGATTAGAGGAACTGAATTTATTCTCTCTTGAGAAGAGGAGATTAAAGGGGGATATGATCAACATGTATAATACATCATTGGTTCATATAGTGAACTTGGTGTAGAGCTATTCACCCTGAGGTCATCATAGAGGACAAGGGGGCACTCTTTACATCTGGAGGAAAAGAAATTTAATCTCCAAACACGGAAAGGTATCTTCACAGTGAGAGCTGTGAAAATGTGGAATAGAATCCCTCAAGAGTTGGTTCTGGCCAGCTCAGTGGATTGCTTTAAAAAAGGCCTGGATTCTTTCTTAGATACACAGAATATAACTGGATACTAACATTTATAGGTAAAGTTGATCCAGGGAATATCCGATTGCCTCTCGGGGGATCAGAAAGGAATTGTTTTCCCTGCAGGAGCAAATTGGATCATGCTTTGCTGGGGGTATTTTGCCTTCCTCTGAATTAACTGTGAGCATAGGATTATATTATATATAATATATATATATTTTTTTTTAATGGTTGAACTGGATGGACTTTTGTCTTTTTTCAGCCAGACTAACTATGTAACTATATTTTAAAAACATTTTTCCATGCAGGTTTTTTTTTACTGAAAAAAAAAACACACAAATAATTAAAAAAAGGGTATGGCTGACTTATTCTTACTATTCAAATGTGAGATTCAGATTATTACAAATTCCCTATGGTGACTAGGTCCCGTTAAGGAATAGTACCAATCACCAGTGTCACTGTGAATGTAAGTGACGGGTAAATTTAAAATTTTGAAATGCCACCAAAACAGAAATGGGGGAAATCTTCCAATGGTGACTTTTTCTTCCACGATAACTGTCTAAGAAGATTTTCCTTCACATTGAAAACTCCCTGTTGAGTCTACAGAATAGTAAGTGAATTGAAACACTGATAGCAGTTTTAACCTTTCATTGTTCAAAAATGAAAAAAAAAAAAGTTTTGCCTACTCTCATATACATCCTTCCTTCCTCAGACTTACACAGCTGTTCCTTCATATGTCCAAGTCTGGGAAAGAGAGAAAGAATGCTTCCCTGACTCGAGAACAGTGGGAGGAATCCTGGTCCTCTACTGCAATAAGCTTCATTAATATCGCCTCTTTAGAAAATGTATATAAAGTTGTCTTTCGATGGTACTTGACAAAAGTCAGAATATCCAGATATATATCATCCTATTCTCTTTATTGCTTCCAAGGATACCTGACCCCTGGCACCATGCCACACACACATGTACCAATGCCCGGCATTTATAGATAATAAATCATCACATTAAAGAGTTATTCAACCCTTTTCTTAAAAAAAAAATGAATATTGTCTGAATGCTGAATATGCCAACACACACGGGCAGTACTGAAGCCCTAGGACATTACACAACTCCATTGCTCCTCCTCCAAGCTAATTGATTGCCAGTGGCTCCTGTGGCTATTTTGAGGATTGAAGTATATAAAGGGCACACATGTGCTTTGTTTACATGGGATGATGGGACCTGTAGTCTTGACAAGAGCAGTCATGTGACCATTCTGTGCAGTGGTCAGTGTGCACATTCCAAGAGGACTTTTAGGGAAGTGGCGCTGACTGATCCAGGATGTGCAGCTTCCAAGAGTAGAAAAGTGCTAGTTCACATATTGGATTAAACTTTTTTATTGGGGAGTGTTTTCTTGGTTACTTTAAATATATCTACATAAAAATAAGAGTTTAACACAACTTGAACTGCCCTTCCCTCCTCTACCTATAAACACCTTCTTGACTGTCCACAATAGACCCCATCCTGGCCTTAGCCAATAGTATAACTTTCTGCACAGAGGGAGGGATCTCTCCTCTCCCTTCCCTATCTTCTGTCCCTTACCACTCTTTTGATAACCCTTCTAATACACACTCAGCATCTTCCTTCCAAACTTTCCTTAACCACTTACCTTCAGAGGATTTACCCCCCTTCCTGATCAGGCCATTTTTTGCGATATGGCGCTACGTTACTTTAACTGACAATTGCGCAGTCATGCAGTGCTGCACCCAAATTAAATTTATGGCCTTTTTTTCAAATAGAGCTTTCTTTCAGTGGTATTTGATCACCTGTGCGTTTTTATTTTTTGCACTATAAACAAAAAAAGACTGACAATTTTGAAAAAAAAAAAAACAATATTTTTGACTTTTTGCTATTAAACATATCCAGTAAAAAAATTTTAAAAGTCAAACTTCGTCATAAATTTAGGCCAAAATGTATTCTGTGACATGTCTTTGCTAAAAAAAAAAAATCCCAATACATGTAAATTAAATGGTTTACATTAAAGTTATAGCGTTTACAAATGGCGGTATAGATACTAGAATTTTTATATATATATATATTAGTAATGGCGGTGATCATTGACTTATAGCCGGACTGTGGGACTGCGGTGGGCATTCTGACACTGGGGGGGGGGGGGGGGGGGACTGACTAACTGCCAATGACATCCCAACTGACACTAATACAGTAATCAGTGCTAATAAAAAGCACTGACACTTTACTAATGACACTGGACAGGAAGGGGTTAACATCTGGGGCAATCAAAGGGTTTGCTGTGTGCTGTGTGCTGTTTTACTATTTTGTCTGTGTGTGCTTTACTGTGTAAGAGTGTAAGAATGCTGCTTTGTATTGCTCTGCTATAGCAATACAGAGCAATACAAAGCAGGGTGCTGGTGCTGACAGGGGAGAGATCTGTATTGTTTACATACAGACCTCTCCTCTGTCACTGTTCCTCAGCGATTGCTGGTTGCCAGCGGGGAATCTCCAGCCAGAACCCTGTGATCGACAGCTGTAGCCGCTAATGGCGGCGTGGGAAGGACCCACTACCCGGAAATACAAAATCACGAATATATACATGATTTTGCACAGCCCTTCTGCCCTGTAGCAGTACTTCTGCTATAGGGTGGTCGGGAAGCGGTTAAAGAGTATGCAAACCCAACACATACCAGTCTACCCCATTGATGTACTTCTAAAACCACTTATACTTGAATTTCCCCCCACATCCTACAACTCATGTTCTCCTAGAACAGTGTTTCTAAACCTTTTTTCAGTCAAGACACCCTTTAATATTATGATCAGTCCCGAGGCACCCTCAAATTATGCACAGTCCAGCGGCATCCTTTAAAATTATGAACAGTCTTGAGGCACCCCATTCTAAAAATGTGAAAAACTATTCTAATAGTTTTATATAACACAGCAACACCCACACATGTAGGACACCCAACATTAGAGGTGATTTATTCTTCCAAAGTAAATACACTTTTGCACACTGGTACTGACTAGTATTCCAGTGTTTCTCTTCTCCCTCCCTTTTCTTCATCACTGAGCTAATGTGACCCCAGCACTGATGGAGAGGGGCAGGGGAGGGTCAAACTAGGATGCTGTGCAGGTGGCTGACATCCTCCTTATCAACTGATGATGTCATTGGCTGTCAAAACGCCAATGGTTAGAAGGCTGTAATGATGCACAATGAAAACCTGTGGCTTTGTATGACTAAAAGGCAGGCTTGTATACAAGTTTTGGGCAATTTTTAGACATTATGCCAAGGCACCCCTGAAGAAACCTCAAGGCACCCTGGTTGAGAAAGGCTGTCCTAGAACATAGCGAATAAAAAAAAAATGAATGCATCATATACAGATTCAGCTCACTGAACAAGGACGTACAGGCAGGTGCAAAGTATGTCTCTTCTGCATTCAAATTCCTGCCTGTTCGCCCATTTTTAATTTTGCCCTACAGTTCTACTGAAAGTTGTCCAATAAAGGGTATAGCTAAATCTACAAACATTGTACCAAGTACTATATCACACATACTGTGTGGTATCTGTGGGCATGCTGATGGTCCACTCCCTTTACTAGTGTAGGCCAAAAGTGGGCCCTTTTACCCAGCAATACAAATATTTGACTCTATAGTACGGCATCAGCTCTATTTGTATGAGACCTCTAAACCTGATCAGTAATAATCACCTCCATTTTTACAATGTGTGACTGCAAGGGAAAGCAGCTCTGAGCTTCATCCAAACAGCATCCGGCACAGCGCTGGACTGACACACATGCTGGCTTGAAGAGGAATTCTGAAAACTGGGGAAACTCACGGAGGAGATTCAGGAGGACCCATCGAGGTTGGCATTTACTACGGTTATAGATATCCGACCAGGACCGGCCTAAGAAACACAAATCAACACAACTGCCTTATTTATTATTATAGGAACATTTCTCTGTATTAAAAAGCTCTGATTTTAAGCATTTACCCAATTACATATGTACAATGAGCTAACCATAAATTTGGATAAATCAGGATATGCCTATTCCCATTAGTGTTATCTGATGCATTTTATGATCGACATTGTTATCATGATCACTGTGTTTTTGGTTCAAAAAACCTAAAAGAGAAGTATGGGAATTTAGAAAAATAAACAATTATACACACCTAGGTGAATACAGCATTGGTCTGATGTGGCATCTTTTCCCCAACAGCTCTAAGGCCAAGAACCAAGTAATCGCATGACCACTGATCGCTTGGTTCTCAGTCTTCAGTTAGCAGAGAGGGGTGACTGCCAGTTATCTGATCTCTGCTCTGCCCTTCAAGCACCAGAAGCATGGACTGGAGCACCATGCGGTGTGCTGAGAGGCGGAGCCAGCTACTGATCAGGCATCTGGGTGGATCCCAATATTAAAGTCAGGATCCCTCCAGAGTCTGGATTGGCTGAGTGACTACACTCAACAACATGGCTAAATACAAAACTAAGTGCACTCCTGTGACCCACAGAAAATGTAGGGCCAAAAAAACTTTGGCTCTACTTCTCCTTTAAACAATAATCAATCATAGAGGTGGCCATCGCTCTGACTCTGTTCAACAGTATTAGGAAGTACAAAGTAATTTTTAGCAGATCTTTACTAGTACTCCAGCCAAAACATTTTTTTAGTTCTGAATAGAGTGAGGAAGAGAGTTACAACCTCTTTGACATTTGGAGAATGTCCTTCAGAACTATAAGCAAGGGGAAATTTCCCCAAAAAGGGACACAGCAAGACAAATATCTGATACCATGTCTAGCCCTACTCTCTAGCAAAAATAATTGGCTAGATTTTATTCCCAGAAGTGCATATAAAGCCCAAAATCTTTTAGTTTTAGTTAGAACACGGAAGGGTGAAAATCCTAATGAAAATATGTTTTGCTTCATCTGTCCCGCCAGGAAGATTTCCTTCATTTTGAATCCTTGAGACAGGAAATGAGTGGAACTTTTTTCAAAGTGAACAGAATTCCCATCTTAGAAAGTTATCATTGGAACAAGTGTCCTCATTATAGGATTTTCCCCATTACGTCTTGCTCTGATTTAAACCCAAAATACTTGGAGTTCCTTTCAACAGGCTCTTTCAGGAGATAAGAAGCCAATACCCTATACTAATGCAATGATAAAAGAGTTAACCCAAAGTTAACTAAACTAAAATGATGTGCATACCAAGTAAAACAGTGAGGTTTTCATAGCTTCAAGGACTTTATAGCTTGGGTATTCTAATTCCCGATACACAGGGGGCTGAATGAAAAGAAAACTGAGAAGCTTGCTGTACTATGTGATGTTAGTATATCGATATCCTCACTGAGCTATTGTGTTCTGATAGGGGGACTGCCACCCACCAGAACACACTGGTCAGTGCTTGCAGCCATTGGCTGTAAGTGCTGAACGGGTGCTGATCAGCAGATTTTTTTTCCGACATGCCCATTCTACAGAAGCCTGCCATTCGGCCAGCTTCTGCTGAACAGGCTGCTGTACACAAGGCCAAATGTCAGCCGGTTTCTGTTGAACTGCCTGATACTGGCCAATATTCGGCTCCTGTGTACTAGGCTGAAGGGTAAGCTAAGTCTGACCATCACACACAGGCAGATATTTTATATGCAATTTTAGAGAGAGAGAGAGAGAAAAGGTAACAGTATATACAGTAAATGATGCACTATACCATTGGAAATTAAGCCTGGTACACAAGTGCCAAATATTGGCCCGCGTGTAAGGGGCCTGCCAGAAAAACATCTGCTGATCGATATCCGATCAGTCCTCTTAGTCAATGGCTGCAAGCGCTGACCCGTGTGTTCTGGTAGGGGGGGCAGTCCCGTTGTTAGAACACAATAGCTTAGCAGGAATATTGTACTAACATCGGATCGTTAGTACAGCAAGTTCCCAAATTTTTTTTTTCAGCCCACTAGATTGAATGAAAAAAACTCATAGTGTGTACCAGGCTTCATTTTGGGAAAAATATTAACCGAAAGACATAACAAACCACAATGGGGAGAATTTTTAAAACCGTAGAATTTTTTTTTTTGCTTCTTATAGCAACACCCAGCTCTGCATTTCATAGGCAGGGTGCAATGTGTGAAACAAGAGTTTTATCATCATTTAACAAACAGATGATTGGTTATTTCAGTAGATACCTCAAAGTGTTAAAATGAAAGCTGTGTGTTGCAATGACAGATATCTGTGTCTTTTTACAGTGGCACCACAGATAACCATACAAAGAGCCAGCAACTATCCTTATCTTCTGCGATTGCCTTTTATGAAACTCTGCTTGCGGCACAAGTTTAACTTTGAAGCATGTTATTAAACAGAAATTCAAAAAATACCTTGTAATGTATGGTTCTCTTGAGCTTGGCACACTGAAATCTGCAGAAGGAGGAAAAGAAATTCTGCTTTAAATAAAAGCATGACACCCCAAATTCTCAGTTACGCCAAGAAGAATGCATTTTTAAAAAGATATAAACTTGGGAAACCACTAGCCTGGTAATGAATATAACAAAATGCCATTATGAATAAACTTTTGGAAATATCCCAAGCTCATACACTTACAAACCCAGGAAATATAAATACATCATGACCAGGGGAGGACTTACCATTTGGGAACTCGGGCACTGCCCGAGGGCCCTTAGTCAGTAGGGAGCCCCATGAGATGCCCCTGGTACCTTTTCATAGGCTTTTTTGGGTGTGGTTTGAGTGTGGGTGAGGACACAGGGGCCCCATGATCTCCTGTTGCCCGGGGGTCCCATGAGTTGCCCCTGGTACCTTTTCATAGGCTTTTTTGGGTGTGGTTTGAGTGTTGGCAAGGACACAGGGGCCCCATGATCTCCTGTTGCCCAGGGACCCATGAGTTGTCAGTCCACCCCTGATCATGACTTACTATAATTAGCTCTATTAAACCAAATCTACCACCATGTAATTTTAATCACACATTGACTGTGCTAAGGTGTTTCTAAACCCAGGACCCTGCATTCACTATATCCTGTCTCCCACAGTACACAGAACATGGTAATGCAATTATTTTAGTAAATATAAACTGCTAAATACCTTTTCTCATCAGCAGTTAGAGCAGTCTTGTGACTTCAGCAAAGCATTGGTTAAAGCCTGTAGGAGGAGTTTTCTTTTTGCTCTAGGAGGATGCAAAACTCCTGACCTTCTGTCTGGACAGTGCTGATTGGCCCTGTGCTGACCACATGCACTCTCCCAAGAAAAAAAAAACTCTCTAACAATACACACCAAACTGAGCATGTGCAGAGTGACTCCACACAGTATGGCTTATCAGGAGATAAGAGAGGGACACTGAAAGAAGAGGAGGAGCAGGGAAGTCAGGATCAAACAGCGCTTTTACACACTACAGAGGATTACACTAAACTGAGCATGTGCAGAAGGGCTATGGGTTCAGTCTGTCTTCTCAGGTGGACATTTGAACAAGAGGAGGGGCAGAGAAAACAGGACCAAATGACCTTTTTACACAATGCAGAGGATTAACCCCTTAGGTTCCACAGTGAGTCTAACAAGCATGCTTTACTGCATATACAGACTGATTTTACTGTTGAGGGTTTAGTAACACTTTAATTTTCCCATATTGTCTAAAATTTGCAGTTTTCAAGCAGATAATACTGATTAGAGATTAGGTAATTATGACTTAAGTACTTTATAACAAAGCTACAAGGAAAACACCAGGCCTAGACGCATTTTCATCCATGTGTACAGGCACATTGAAACCAATAGGCTACATTTAGGTCAGTGAAAAGAAAAGCCTCCAATGCCTAAAAAAAATGCTAAGATTTTACACAGCAGTGTGCTAGAGGCCTAAATATACCCATATCAGACCACATGACTGTTACAGAGTTCAGAAACACAAAGAGCCCTTAAAGCTATGGCTACAAAATGTTGATAGTATTTGGAAAACATATTTGAATGCATTTTATTTTGGAACCACCATATGATTGCTATAAAAGCAATTTTATTCTGTATCGGGTTTACCTTTGAAATGGGAATTAGGAGCCCCTGAATGATTTTGATATGGGGCCCCGTCAGATATAGTTATGCCCCTTAGAATTAGCAGTCTTGGAGTTATATTATACTATACACCATTCAGCATTTAGAGCATTTTCAAAATATGGGGAATATCTAGATGTACATTTCTATTCTTCGAAGAAGAATTGCAGGACATTTTTGTCTACTTATTTTTGTCTAGGGGTGAGGAGAGTGGAGATATATTTATCTAATCAGTTGATCCTCCCAGCACAAGACCCGTCCCTGCCACTCCTACCACCAACAGAAAATTCCCTAGCACACTTACCAGCTAGCCCTGCAACCAAACCGAATTGGCCCGGTCTAACAGTTTGCATTAGTTTTAGTGGCACACATTTGCAGATATATGTGTGTGCCGTTACACTTGTGTGAAAATATATTGCAATGCATAGTCATAGTTATTGTTCATATTACTGTGAATTGAGAATTTATATAGGTAATTTTCATGAAGCCATTGTTTATTAGCTTCAGTACAGATATTGCCATCTTGTAGATATTTTGGTTATTGCAACATCATTTTCTGTCTTCCATCCTGTGTTCCTCCCACTTGTGATGTATTGCCTTTTCACTCTGTCTTTTTTGGGATTGAATATAGCCACTTGTTTCAACGCCACATGTAATCTGTTCACATCTGGGAACACATTACCACATTTTGACCTGCAAATACTGTCTTTTCAATCATCTGCTACATCTTGTTGTCTGCTGTACCTAAACAAAGATCTCCTTGGATGAAAAATGGTGTTTGGTGAGTTAAGCTATCTGATAAAGGCTGTCTGTAGTGATTGTATCTGCTTATAGAGACCAGGCATAGAGGTCCAAGTAAGGGATAAGTCA